ATGGTCGTTTTGACCCTTTTTGGAAGTGTATTTCACAGGTAATTCAATTTTTTTCTTCTTCTCTTTGAATATCTATTTGCCTATCAACTCTCATTTCATTTCTTATCTTCAATGACCACTCATCACCAGCTCTTTTGGTTTTTCCAAATAGCCTCATGGCTTACTGAATTTGTCTTGCCCTCTCTGGCAGGTCATGGGCAGCTGGGCAGCTATCTGGTAGCTGTAAATGACCAGGGTATGTCTTATTACCAACTTTTTATGTGAATTTACAATGATGGGACATCTAAAACCTGTTATTCACTGATTATACACACACACACACACACACACACACACACACACACACACAGTTAATTCTCACCCGAGTATAATTTTTCCATTGATTTTTAGAAAGAGTGAAGGGCTGAGGTAGCGGGGGGGGGGGGGGGGGGAGTTAAGGGGGAGCAGGAGAGAGAGAAACATCAATGTGAAAGAGACATCAATCGGATCAAACCTGCAACCCAGGTACTTGCCCTTGGTAGGGAATTGAACCCATGACTCTTTGGTGCAAGGGTGGGCATTTTAACCACTGAGCAACACTAGACAGGGCCACTGAAAATACTTTAAATACACCTACTCCAAGGATTTAATAGTGGTAGTGATTGTAACTACAGATCTGTGGAATATAGGAGGCTAGGACTGTAGGTCAACAGATATACACTGTAAGAGAACCAGCCAGTTGCTAAAAGAAGTTAAAATTACATAAAAAATAAATATATGGCGACAAAGGGGGGAAAAACAGTAGAAACCACTCAGACTTCTGATATCATGATAAATAACTAAAAAGACACTTAAATACAAAATATAAATGTTTCGTACAGATTATCTACCTATAGATGTTTAGTATAGAAAAAATGTTCTTCAAGTTCATAGAGAATATCAATATTAACATTTTGATATTAATATATTAATATTGATATTAATGTATCTTCTGTGGAAGTGGCATTTTAAAGCAATCTTTATTGTGATTTTATGGAAAAGATTAATTTTAATTTTTGGATGTTCATCAACATCCTTCAAACATCTATGTATATACATAACATTTCTCCATATTGTACGTTTCTGAAATATTGCACCCAAAATAAGAAACTCCATTTCACTCACATATTAAAAATAGAAGCCTTATTCCACAGAGAGGGAAATACCATTTTGTGGTGGAAGAAATAATAAAATCACATGAAGGGGAAAACATTTGTCCATATTATTCCTTCCTGGGAGACTTTATTCATAGGTCCTAAGGAAAACTGTCGATTCTGCATCATCCTGTAGTCATGTTTCCATCCTGATTCAGTCATTGTAGATTTTGGTGGAACTGCAGGCAGTGAAATGAGCATTGCTCTCTATGTGAACCACAAACCCAGAGTCACTAATGAGCTAAGGTCTGAAGAGCAACTTTAAGGGATTCTAAATTCTAAATTACCCATAGGTAATTTATACAAAACATGCATATTTTGTATTTGAGTGTATTTTTAGTTGTTTATCATGATGAGGCAGGCCAAGGTTTCAATTTTATTCTTTTTCTAACCTTTAATATTTAAATCATATAAGCATATTTAATTTAATTAACATAATTAATATTCTACCCTTCCATGAAAATAATCAATTTTTTATTCTGATGAAGACTGTAGAAACATGTTATACTTCTCAAATGTGTTCAGGAACTTAGGTACATGGAAATCATAGACTCCATGTGGAAAATTGTGAGATACCTATATTTTAAATTTAAAATAATTTTTTTGTCAATTTTTACCCTCACTTATACATGTAATATGGAAAGCAAACAGTAGGTGCAAAGGATTCATGAAAAAAATATAGAACTCAATATTGAAAATATTCTACTCATTTACATTCTCTCCTTACATTTAAAATTTTTCAGCAGAATGCCTCTTTCAGTATATATTCCCAGTGCTCACTAGAAGCAGTGTTAACATTTTTGGATGTAAAAATAGCATATATTGTATATTGTATGATGAACTAAAATTATTAAAAACCAACAATACACAATACATGTTAAACTCTTACTATTCCCATCATATTTGATTTAACTAAACTTGAATTTTAGTAAATGTATTCCTTTTCTAAATTTATTCTAAAGATTTTTCCAATTCTTTAATTATAATTGAGGCAAGAACCATCACATATGCATCAGGTTTAAAGGAGCAATTTATTCTGAGATTTACTTTCCAGTCCAGATTTGAATAAATTTGGGAACATTTACACTAAATAAAATATAGTAATCAAATATTCAATTTGCAATATACATAATTATTGCAGAATTTTACAAAAGTGAAATTTTGTATTAGAAGAGTTGGGATAGCAATATTTCATATGCATATTTTAAAACATAATGAGAATAGTTGATCATTTGGGAAAAATGATTATGGGAAAACTAAAATTAAGAACATTGTCTCTTGCCAAAACCGGTTTGACTCAGTTGATAGAGTCGGTCTGCATACTGAAAGGTCCCAGGTTCGATTCTGGTCAAGGGCATGTACCTTGGTTGTGGGCACATTCCCAGTGGGGGGTGTACAGGAGGCAGCTGGTCCATTTTTCTCTCTCATCGATGTTTCTAGCTCTGTCCCTTTCCCTTACTCTTTGTGGAAAATCAATAAAATATATTTTTTAAAAAACCAAAACACCAGAATATAAGTGATAGTAAATGGCTTTCACATCCATTTATTCAATGGCTCCTAAAAACTAATGTGAAGGTAGATAAACAATCCTTACTTTAGCTAAGAACAGATTCAGAAAAGGTGAACAATATTAATTTAGGAAATACTGAGTACCTACTATTTGACTAGGCACTCTGCTAGGTGCTGAGCGCATAGATATAAACAGCAGTGGGGGGGGGGGGGGGGCGGGAAAGAAGGTATATTTCTGCATGGAGTTAAATACACCTGGCCCAAGCTAACTAAACCAGTAATCACTAAAGGGAGAAAATTATTTCTACTTAATTTGTCCTTTCACTTTGTCTGATTTCAAGGTGAGGATAAACAATGAAGGAAACTTAGGAGGGAGGGACATGACAGACATTTCATAAAAAGCAAACAGTATGTGTGATTATTTCCTAAGTTTAAGAATAATTATGATGTGTGCCAAAGTTAAAGAGCATTTTTTTTTTCTTTTGGACTGGAAAGTAGGAATTAGGATAGGAAACTTACCACTTGAACCAGGCAAAGCATGGACTCAGTTCTGGTTCTGACACACACAACTTCAGTGAACAATGTGTTAAGGAAAGCAAGAACTGCATGTACTTAAAATGATCATCCAGAATAATAATTCTAGTTTTGACATTGAAGGTGAGAATTAATATAGACATAATGGATAGCAAAGTATATTTATAATCTCATTTCACACACCAATAAATAATGTATTCACTTCTCAAAATGCCAAAGTAAATGTGAGAAAATTTTCACCTATATTCAGGATTAGACTTTCTAGTTTTAAATTATGAACTTTGGCTGTAAATTTATTTCAGTTGAAAGGTTTGAAGGGATTATTAATGAATCTTCTAAAATTCTGGAGGATGTTTAAAAAAGATTATTTTAACATAATAAAGAATCCTGCTATAGGTATGACAAAAATTGCAGGCATAAATTTGTTGAGCAACTACTGTGTGACAGCACTGTGCTGGGCAACTATGTTATTTCTAATCATCTATAGGTCACCTTTCCATTTTCTCTACCAATAATTCTTATATTGTTAATTTACAACTATATTATTTGAAATGCAGCTCAGCTCATTTATTCCACAAACTTGGTTCCCAAAACATTTCCTCAATGGAGAGGAGGGAAAAGCTAACTGACTACTTAGGAGGACTTCCCGTGGAATTTGTGGTGTTATCTATGTGGCCTTTCAGAAAGCCCCCAAACTTGTACGTCAGGAACTTGAGATAAAATCAGCAATCTGTTTCAAAGAACTCATCTTTCTGTCGTGCTTCTTACATTAAGGACCAATACAGCAAGCACTGCCCATTTAGGTGGTAAATCGCGGCCTGTTTTCACCTTCACTCTGAATCTGTAATGCCCATGAGCCCGAACTCCTGAGACCACTCCAAGGGGAAAGCTGGGAGGAGCTCAGAAAGCAGGTCAGCCAGCTGGGCGGGGCAGGCCAAGGTGACAGCAGGTGAGCCAGCTGCTGATGAGGAAGTGAGACAGGGACCCTGTGGGTATTACTCATTCCACTTTACCGCCAAGCTGGCTTTCAAGCGGAACTTGTAGCCTCTCTTTCAATCCAGCTGAACTTCTAATTGAAGTCACTTCCCATCCGGTTTGCTGAGGGGGGAGGGAGAGGGAAAGGACCGTGCGTCCGTGTAAGGGAAGTCAGGACAGTGGGGTCAGGTAGCCTCTCTGGTGACATCCAGTGAGTGTCCTCGTCGTCAGAGGTCAAGCTTCCCAAATGAGTTCCTCAAACCCGCGTCTCCCCTAATCCGGAAACTCCCCGGGGTGCCCGGAGCACAGAGCTGCGTGGGAGCAGGGCCCAGCCTTGAGGAGGTGGAGGGAGGACAGGTTGCCCAAGTCACTCCGAGGGCACAGGGTCCCGAGAGCCAGCCAGACCCAGGAGCGCCCCGCGGGCGTGGCCAGTCCGCCGCAGAAAGCCGCGAAGCCTCCAACTTCACCTCTCTCACTCCGGCAGCCGGCCGCCCTCGGACCCCATCCCCGCAGCTTCCCGGTGCCCCCCTCCCCGACCCCGTGACAACCGAGGGGAAATTCTCCCTCGCCCCTCGATTCAAACGCGGCTGTTTCCACGGCGGCCGCAAACCGCCCTCTCCCTAGCAACAAGGTTCCGGCCGTAGAGCGAGCGGCGCTAGGTGTAAGGAAGGTGATGTCGTAAAGCCTCGAGTGTCGTAAACCAGGTGCGGTGGGGAGGGGTGGAGGCGGAGGGGGAGGGGGAGGGGGAAGGGGAAAGGGGGAGGGAGGGGGAGGAGGTGACTCGAGCATTTAGACTCAAGCGAGAGGATCATGGCGGATGGCCCCAGGTGTAAGCGCAGAAAGCAGGCTAACCCGCGACGCAATAACGGTGAGTCGCGGAGGGGACCGGGGAGCGGCGGAGTCAGGGGGAGTCGGGCGGCCGGGGCGGCCCGAGGGTGAGGGGGGCTAGTCGGGATGGGGGCGGCCGGGGCAGGGACGGGCAAAGTGGAGTGGGAAAGTAGAAAGTAGTGCTCTCTGCCCCCCTCAGCTGCCGGAGCCGCGCCGCGGCCGCTCGCTCTCCCTGAACCGTTATGTCTCTTACCTGGTCTCTCTCCGCCTAGCGGCTCCCGCCGCCGCTGCCGCCTGCCTGGACCGTTAGCCGCCGCCGCCGCCGCCGCATCCCCGGCGCTGGGCAGGCGGCCGGGACGCGGCGTTCACTTTTCTGGTCTCGGGTGGAGCGGCTGTTGCTTCTTTTCGCACTTTTCCCCACTCTTCTGCCCCTCGCGCCTCCCTGCCCCCCCTCCCCTCACCGCCTTCGCTGCGTTTCCCCGGCCGTGGAGCTTCCCCGGAGCTGGGAACTAACTTGTCCGGCCCTGACCGTGCAAAGTGGCGTCGGCGCGCCGCGGCCCCGGCCCGCACCGGGGCTCGGGCTCCGCGGCGCGGGCGGCGGGGGACGCGGCCGCCGGCTGCGTGTCGTCCGTGCGCGCGTGTGCGCGGGGCCGGCGGGGCGCGCCGCGGGCGGCGGCGGCGGCGGCAAAGTTGGGACCTGCCGACGCGCTCGCTCGGGGAGTGGGGGTTCGCGGCGGAGGCGCGGGTCCTTAACGCCCCTCCTCTCCCGCCCGCGCCCACCGCGAGCCCCGCTCGCGAGGTCCGCGTCCTGCGGGGCGCTGGCGGGGCGGTCTGTGGAGGCGGAGAGGGGGCCGCGGTGTCTGTGGAGTTGTTACCTGGTTAGAGACCGGGGAGCACCGCGGGCAGAGCCCTCTCCCCGGGGAAGTCTCCCCGCGCCGGGATGGGGCCCTCTGCGGACGCCTCTCTCTTTTTCTGTTTCGGTTTTTGGGGAAGTTGTTACCTGGGCCAGACGCTCGGAGTGCCGAAGCCCGATAATGGAGCTGGGATGGCGCTCGCGGTCGCGGGTGGAAGGGGATGGGGGAGGGGGCGGGCGGACCGACGGACGCGCGCGGGTCGTCTGCTCGCGCCGCCGCTGCAGCTGCAGTTGCAGTGTGTATTGATTTGTGCTGGGGAAACGCACATGCCTGGGTCTGGGGAGAGAGTTTAAAATAAATACTCGGATAAATCAGTCAGAGAGAGAGACTGAGAGAGCGAGACCCGAACATGTGGCATGTGGCTGTTGCACAGTTGCTTTTTCCAGTTTGGAGAGACCTTGTAAAATTGATGGTATTTCTGCTTATCTTGGGGGCGATTCTGTGCTCTCTCTCCCTCGGGTTCAGCAGCGAAATGTCTGCTGATTGTTATTGTCTGGACAGTTCCTGTGGCGAGAGGGGCGATGCTGGTCCGCCGGGGCGGCGTGAGCGCGGGGCCCCCGCCCGCGCCGGGTACCTGTTTGTATAATAATGGGCGGCGACGGCCCTGCCGCCCTGCGGCCCAGGCTATATAAGGAATTAGGCGCACATTTAGGGCCGAGGGGCTCCTCCGGGCTCCTGCCTTATTTTAAAAATTAATTTTTAAGAATAGGGAAATAAATGCGCCTGCATTGGGATCACTTGTGTCTTCCAAAAAAAACGAGGAAATGTGTGTATAAGGAAAAACTCTCGCGCTCCCCCTCCCGCCCCACCCCCGCGCCCAGACTCCCTTTCTCCCTCCCCTCGCGGATGCGAAACGCGAGGTTTTGTAACCTTTCCAGGCAATTTTAGGTTTTGTGTGGGATTTCCTGTCTAGGAGCAGATACGAAGATTTTTTAGCCGTTCCAAGACGTTTCCTTCCAATCGTAAACATATTTAAAAAAATATATATTTGAGCCTATATTAAAATAACCGCTTTCATGAATAATTTTAGTTATTCGAATAAACGTTTTTTAAAAGCGTCTATCTGCTATGCTTGAGAACTAATATTGTGGAGAGAGATGACTTGTTACAGCAAAGAGCGAAACATAGGCTATTGCAATTTTAATTTCCTGTTTTAGCGTCAAATAGTGTGCGTTCTATATTGAGCTGTTGCTGCTGTGGCTTTATGAAAGGTAAGTTGGTTCGGAAAGGGCTGTTCGCTTTTTATCTTATGTAAAATGTTCATCGCCATAGAAAGGGTTTTTTCTTGTTGCTGACGACATGTGTATGACATGTGAGACTGAACCACCCAGCGTCGGTGCAGCTGCTGTAAACATGTTTACCTGAACAGGAAAGAATGGATTTTTCTCCCAAGGAGTCTGTGATATGAATATGACCACCCATAAGGCATATCAACAGATGACTTAAGGGGGGAAAGCTATTTTGAAAGGTACTTGAAATCAACAGGAAAAAGGAGGTTCTCCGTCGCTGCAGCAAATGGCAACTTGTGCAGGTAGAAAAAAAGATGGTGTTTAGTTTTCTCCTGCATGTATGTCAGCCCCCTCCTGCCTGCTACTTTCATTCTCAGGGGACGGATTTATTACCACGCTTGCTGTCAGTGTTTTTCCTTTGTGTTTAATGTTAGAAAAACAGAATTTGGGGGCTGTTTGGCACAAAATGTCTTGCCTGCAGTATGCATTATTCTGAGAAAACAAAAGGTGTTTAAGATAGGTAGCTTCCATTTTCATCACTTTTGGTTCTGTCCTTGTATTTCTTTTTTGTCCTTAAATACATCTCATTCATTGATGATGATTGTCACCATGCTATATGATTAAGCTTTAAAATTTGCAAAATGAAGTTATATGTATTATATAGTGAAATCTCAGGGTAGGTGCTGGTTATTTCTTAACAACGCAGTCATTTAAGTTGCAGTTGTTTATTGGAAAGAATTGCTTGGGAAAATGCGAACTCTTAACTATTTTTAAATGAAGAAATAAATGCCTTATCCAGTGGCAGGTAGTCATAGAGATACTTCATACTGTTATTTATATATAAATAATTTTGTTTATTTTCAAATAAGGTATGCATATTAAGCCGATGATGAGCTTTAAGTAAAATATTTTAATTTTCTTCCTAGAATATCTTCAGAGTAGAATATTAATAGGGGAATCAAGTAATGTTATCTGACAGGGATAAACCAATTAAGCAAGGTGTGGCCAAAGCATCAAACCTTATATAGTAACTTTATGGTAATGATGTTAAAGGAGTCAGATTATAATTACTTAAATCAATTTTTATCATTTATAATGTAATGTTTTGTTTGTTGTAATTTGAAAACCTGTCTTCTCATTTTCTACTTCTATTTTCTATGTGATTTTCTTATATGTGTATTTATTTTGGAGAAATGTACCCTGGCTACTAATAACAGCATGCTGATTAATTCACTTTAGATGGAATAGCAGGTACATATCTTTCTGTCATTTGCACCACTTGCTGTCTTTGAAAACCACCAGTAGAGGATGCTAACAAAAAATGTTTATTGGTGTAGTAGTACCATAAGTCTGTTTATCTCCTGTTGAATGAGGCCTCTATGTTGATAGGGATCTTTCATGTAATTCTGAGTCTGTTATTTCAGCCAGCCTTGGATAAATTAGGCAGAAGCATTTCTCTAATCTACTGAGACTAGAAAGAGGTAGTAATGTTTTAAATTAAACAATTTTAAAATTTGAGCTTTTTAAATCTTGAAATTGAGATGGCTATTAATTTAGTCTCACTTTAGATCAGTCATATTACTGCTTTTAAAAAGTGTTTTATGTTATTACGTTTAAAGAACATGTAATGATTGGCCCATATTTATTTTGCATATTTACTATATTTTTAATTATTTTTATTCATAGTAAGAGCCCTGAAAAAATATTTTTAGACATTAAACTATATTAATGGTAGGTATGATAAGAAAAAATGCAATTAATTGGTTGATAATAGTGTATAATTATTTCTCCATAAGTTAGGTATACTTAAAGTATGTATGGGTTGGCAGACAACTACTAGTGAAGGCCTTAAGCAGCAATCACTCAGATGCTAGTGATTTTTAGATTATATATTTTCCTTCTTTTATTAATCAAAATCAGGTAGTGTATACATAATTTTAAATTTACCAATTGTAAATTAAGGAATATAAGTTTGTTTAGAGGATTTAAATGTAATGGATAAAGTTAATGTTTGTTAATTACTATGTGCTTGTATAAAAAGGATTATTTAAAACAATGTATATTAATATAACTTTCACACATAAATAATTGCACAAGACTTCATGAATTTAGTTTTTTTGTTTGTTTGTTTTTTAGTTTGTGTTCTTAAATATAGTTTTACATTTCCTGACAGATAGTTCTTGATTTTGGTGGTCTCCTAATTCCAAGAGCTGAGTAGTGACTAGGTGTGATTCACTTTTTTTAATGAACTGAGGAACTTGCTTACAAAGACATGATATACAAATTGTAGCATGGAGCAAAACTGAAAGTACCTTACAAATTGAGAGGATCGATAATTTATTAATATGACCCTTTATAAAAGCATATGAAATACTTGATTCGTACTTTGTTTTGTTCCTCTAGTATCCAGTATTTTTGAAAATGCCATACTATGTTTACAGTTTTAGTCACTTTGAAGCATGTGGTGAAAAAGTTATATCAAAGTGGGAATATTTTTAAAACATTAGCATAATTATTTCTCATAGTTGTGTTTTTCTATCCATTTTTGCTTCTCCCTGTACAAATCACTTCTAAGCATGTGATTAGAGCCAGATATAAACATAGATGCAATATCATGTGAAATTATATTGTTAGCTACTTTTAACTATCTGTATTGAATTCAGTAAAGAAGGAAAATCATACAGATATTGGAAAAAGATATGCATTAGTGTGCAGAAGTGCAGCAAGAAGTTAGATGACTTGATGAAATTGTAGAAATAGTACTTAAGATTGAAAAGTTTCCTTAATTTTTTTTTAATTTCATAGAAGAAGTGAGAAGGAGATAAAGAAACATCAATGAGAGAAAAATCATTGATTGGCTGCCTCCTGCACACCCCTTACTGGGGGGGGGGGAGGGC